GATTGAACTCAGGACCTTGAGCTTTTGGGGCAGTCGTTGGCACCACTGAGCTAAATCCCTGGCCCTGTCTTATTTTACTGATGACAAAACTGAGCCACAGAGAGGCCAAGTAACTTTCCTAAAAGTCACTCAGCCAGAGTAGTACACTCGGACTCGAACCTAGTGAACTGGATCCAGCCTCCCTGTTACTCCAGCCTCTCAGCCGACACCCCTTCTCCAGGCAGCTGCTCTGCCGGGGCCCAGAAACAAAAAAAAAAAAAAAAAAAAAAAAAAGAATTAAAGTAAAAATAGATAGTGATCTGGGATTTTGACCAAGAATAAACTCATGGAATGCAGCCCCTTCCCTAAGAAAGAGAGTAACGGCCCCTCCAGGAATTTAAAAGCAGAATAACCAGTTTTTCCGTAAAATCACAGTTTCCTTTAAACCCTGCATGGGAGGGGTGGGGGCTGGACTGGGTCAGACGCCTGAGTTTTAATTGGTCATTTGAGCCACCTGCAATTGATGAATATTTAACAATTGAGCAACACCTGTGCTGTGCTTAGCTATAAGAAATTCTGGGTCCACATAGCCAGCCACTCGGGACCCCTCCTGGAAATCCAGAAGATACTCATCTTCGTCTTTTCAATTAAACTCTCCTAACCATCTCCTTCTGGTGCACGAGTTCATTCTTTTATGTTGTGCGATCATAAGCTCACTTTTGTACAAAACGAACTGTTTCGTGTTTTGGAGGTATCCCCAAGACAGGAGATTAATATGAGCTGAGCCCAAACTGGAGCGTTTTATTGCCTCTATCTTGCAGTATATTCTGGTTAACTGTGATTCCATTTAGGAGAGAGAGATTTTTGCTCTCCTGTAGGAACGTGGCCAGCTTCAGGATGGGATCAGAGAAAGCACCTTTATCTCCCTGAGCCTTATGCCCTGATGTGCTTCCCACAGCCCCAGCCCGGGGACGCCCACCCCACCACAGGCCTCCCTGGTCTCTCCTTCCCTGACTGAGGTCCCCCAGGTTGTCTGGCCATCCCTCTCTCCTCCCCTGCTTGAGACCCCGGACCTACCTGTGGTCACCGAGGGTCAGGCGGTGGTCCATGTGTGAGCGGTGGACTGGGCTAAAGAGAGAAGAGCGTAGGTGATAGTGCAGGCCCCAGCAGGAGAGGGAGGTCTGGCCCCAAAGCTGAAGGGCTCACAGGGGCCAGAGCTGGTCCCTTAGGGACCTGAGCCTTGGGTCTGCACCCTGGAGCTGTGGGTGTCCCTGTGCAAGGAGAGTTGGCAGGAGACTCCCTGTTTCTTGTTACTTCCGGTAACGTAATGACCTCCCATGCCTCTGTGTATCACAAATGACAGATTTCACCCTTTTGTGCCCTTCGCTGTTCCATTGTGTATAAGGACTGCATTTGTCACTTTTCATCGGTTGGTGGACACTGAGATCGTCCTCTCTGGGCCACTATGAATCGTGCCGCAGTAAACATGGAGTCAGGTGTCTCTTCCACAGACTGGTTTCACTTCCTTCAGACACACCCCAGAAGCGTTATTAGAGCACAGGGCGATTCTGTTTAGTTTTTTGAGGAACTCCCACACTGTTTTCTGCCCTGGCAGTGCTAATTTGCATTCCCATGAGCCGGCCTACAAAGGTCCCTTTCTCCAGGTGCCCCCAGCCCCTGCTCTCCTCTGGCTTTTTGACGACGGCCGTTCCCATGTGTGCCATGAGACCTCATTGAGGTTTGAATTTGCATTTCCCTGATGATTGGTGATGCTACGTGTTATTCCACGTATTTGTTGGCCACTTGTATGTTTTGGGGGGCATCTGTTTCAGTTGGGCCTGAGATCTTTATAACTGCTGAAGTTAAATCTGGCCCTGGGTCCAGAGGAGAAGGGTCCCCAAGCTGGGGGGTAGGGAGGGGCAGGTCTGGGGCGCGCAGGTCTTCCGGGGAAGGCCCATCACATGGGAACATGGCCAGCTTCAGGATGGGATCAGAGAGAGCACCTTTATCTCCCTGAGTCTTAGGCCCTGACGTGCTTCCCACAGCACCAGCCCCGGGACGTCCACCCCACCACAGGCCTCCCTGGTCTCTCCTTCCCCAACACTGAGATCCCCCAAGCAGCCTGGTCGTCCCTCTCTCCTCTCCCACTTGAGACTCCAGACCTACCTGTGGTCACGGAGGGCAAGACTCCTGTCCCCAAGCCTTGAGTATGTCACCCCCAAGTTGGGGCCAGGGCTGGCAGGTGGGGCAAAAGTGAGAACCCAGTCTCTGAGCCCGGGCTCCTCTCTGCCCCTGGACCCAAGCAGAAGGCCTGGCAGGATTCAGGTGGTGGAGCCACGGGCCAGGGATGAGTGAGCCCTGCCTGGGTCCCTCTGATAGGGGCATTTCCCAAGGAAGGCTCACCTGGAGACACCACCAGGGTGACGTTTCGGAGAACAAAGATCGTGTTTGTGGAGGTGTTGTATTTTCCACACCAGTAGGGTCCCGAGTCGTCCTCCCTCAGGTCAGTTGTGCTGATGACGAACAAACCAGCGTGGGGATCGTCCCAGATTGTGTGCCTCGGCTCCTCCACGATTGTCCGGGGCTGGGAGGTGGTGACCACCCTGGTGCACCTCTCCACTTCCGTCTGGCGACACCAACTTTTCCTCACGTAGGGCCCCGTCTGGGGTTTGTACTGGCACCACACGGACAGCGTCTGTCCCACCACGGCATGTAGCTCCTCGGGCACCACTGACAGCCCAGAACCTGGATGACAAGTCCTCCCTCGGTCACAGCCCTGTCCGGGCCACCACTCCCAGCCCTGGGAAAAGCGGAGAGGGAGCGACTTCTGATGCCACCGCCGGATGTGGCCCCCAAAGCCCGTCCCTGGGCACAGCTGCTCCCCACCCACCCTCAGCCTGGGCCCTTCTGTTTCACCTGAGGCCAGGAGCACCAGCAGCACAGGGGGCAGCATCAGCTGGGAGCCCCTCCAGATCATGGCACGCCAAGTTGCTTCTGCCTGTGAGGGAAAGGAAAAAGGGAAGCCCTCTGGGCAGAGGGAACCAGGCAAAGGGCCCCATTCTTCCGGCTGTCACCAACTCTGGGCCAGCAGAACCCAGAAAGGTCAATGCTGTACATGAGTGGGGAAGTGGTTGGCCTGGGAAGGTGGGAACACTGCGTACAGGGGAGAGGTGGCAGCCAGGCCCGGGTTGGGGGCACCAGCCGCAGGGTCTCTCCGGCCCTCCACACCTCAGCCTCATTGCTAAGCGCCCTTTGGCCCGACGTCTGCCTGTCTCTGCTTCCCTTTACCCCATCCAGCTACCTCACTGGGGCTGGGGGCTGGGGGCTGGAGAATACTGGGGACGAAGCTGCAGTAAAGTAAGAGATCGCTCCTCTATTCCCTCTCCACGCTCTCCTTAGGAGAGGCCAGGGCTCCGAGGCACAGCCAGAGTCCTTGTCACGGTCCTGGCACAAGTCAGGGACCTCCCTCCCAGGTGCACCGGGGTGTCATGAGTTTTCACCCTGGGGAGTTCTGGGGAGGGAGGGTGAACTTCAGCGACAGGAGCTAAGGGTAATCCCTGGGGGCCAGAGGAGCCCGGGCAGGAAGCACACCATGCAGGGATTAACAGCGGGGAAGCAGGAGAGGACAGAGCAGCTAGGGCCAAGAAAGAAGGCAGGGGGCTCCAGACTGGGCCTGTTGGATGAATACAGAAATGAGTGAAAAGGTAAAAACCCCAGTTACATTACAATGTGTGTAACAAATGTGTGAAGGGAGCCAGGCGTGGTGCTGCACACCTATAATCCCAGCCCTTGGGAGGCTGAGGCAGGAGGATTGCCAAGAGTTCAAGGCCAGCCTAGGCTACAAGGCCTTTTCTCAAAATTTTTTTTAAAAAAAGTGAACGAGAAAAAAGGCCAAAGTTGGAACAATACAGTGCCAATATATAGAGGGCCTGTCCATCCCAAAACATAAATATTCATGAGTCCATATGAATGTAAATGAATATTCAAGTAAACAAATGGCTGGAGCAGAAGAGGGAAATTTCCCATGCATAAGGGCTCCGCTATGCCTGAGCTGCGTGCTGGTGTCCCCCTAATCCTACTGGGAGGCTGAATCCCACAAGTGAGGGTCGGAGCGTGGGGCTGTTTGGAAGTTCATTAAGTCTCAAAGGCTCCTCTCTCAGGGGTAGGATAGGTGCCACTGAAGGGTGTGAGTTTTTCCCTCTGACACGGAGGAACGGTTTCTCCCCTCCACCATAAGACCAGGGAGAATCCTCTGTAGCCCGTTGGGAACCGGCCAAACTGCAGGAGGTGAGCAGGGGCAGCGGGCGAGCGCAGCTTCCTCTGTGTTTCCAGCCCTGGCCTTGCTGCCCCGAGCTCTACCCCCTCAGGTCAGGAGGCACTGGATTCTCACAGGAGAGCAGACCCCAGAGAGTCACGAGTGGGAGAGATCTAGGCTGCGCGCTTCTTTGAATCATCCAGAGCCATCACATCCTCGACCTGGCCTCCGCCCCAGCTCCACCCCAAGTGTGGAAAATTTGTCTTCCAGGAACCCGGTTCTGGTGCCAAACAGCTTGGGGACTGCTACCCTCAAGGTGGTGGTTCAGAGGCTGGTGCCCACTCGGGTGGCTGTGTCTGTTGGCAGCGTGGAACCTTCGGATGGGGTGGAGTGGGGGTCCCCAGGGTAAGGAGGCACGCCCTGGAAGGACTCAGACCGTCTCTCTCTGACTTCCGGTCTGAGGACGCGGTACCCCCGCCATGCCTCCCTGACATGGAGACACCATCGGCCTCCGATCTTGCACCAGGTGATGCTGCCACCGCACACCTGCTCTTTCCCCACTCACCCCAAATACGGCCACAGACTGGCACCCCAAAGTAGGCCACTTTGGCATAGGGGGTTATGTTGAGCTCAAAACAAGCGAGAACCAACAGAGGAGGACGTTTCCTGTCCTCTCCTTCTCTGCCTCCGAGGCTGGGCATACAATCTCCCTTTTCAAGGTGACTGCCGATACCAGGAAGAGAGAAGCACTCACGTGTGGGATGGGAGCTGACACCAGGGTAAGTTTACATAAACAGACTTCACTAGAATAACTTTTACTTTCTGTTCATCTCCTCACGTCTTTCCCAGTCACTTCCCAAAACTGAGGGTCCCTCAAAGCCCAAAGCCCTTTGCCTTGTTCACTTGGTCTCTACACCCCCAGAGTCGGTGTCTTTGAGTTGCACCTCTTTCTGTGAACTTCCATGCACTTGAGAATTAATGAAAGCGGATGCCTTTTCTCCTGTTGATGAGTCCGTTGATATAGTTTAATTCCCAAGCCCTCCAGCCCCAACCTCTCCCCATTATCCACCCAAAATACCCAAATTTCTCAGGCCCAACATCAAGGCAATGGTGGCAGAGATTCAGACGAAAAGGACGAAAGGGCTGAGGCACCGAGCTATAAACTTTGAGAAAGAAAACTTGAAAATCAGCCCTGTGACTTTCTGGTAAAGACCAGCATCTGCTTTAATTAAATGGAACTGAAAGTTTTGTGAGCTGCGCAGACGTCTTGGAAGCCGCTGCACCCTGCGCGGGTTCCCAGGGGGGTGGATGTATTTGGAGCCCCTGTGACAGTTGCCATGAGCCACTATTGAACCCCTGATATGTGTCAACTCTGACTGCAGAGGTGGATTGTAATTTTCATTTGATTTTAGTTAATGTAAGGGCAAACAGTTCCCTGGGGTCCCTGGCTGGAATCCTGCACAACCTACTTCCAGGCAGCTGAGATGACTTTAACTCCTGCCCCCACACCAGGGACACATTTCTTTGCTGTGTTGTGTTTGCAAATGTTAAAGCTCTAAAGCTAGCTGGGTTTGGGAGTAATCCAAGCACTCCAGGAGGCTGATGGATGGTAAGTTGGAGCCCAGCATGGGCAACTCAGCATGACCCTGTCTCAAAAGACAAATAAAACGGGCTGGGTGTGTAGCTCAGTGGAAAAGTCCTGGATTCAATCTCCAATATGGAGGGGGGGGAAGGGAAGGGGAGGGGAAAATCCAATAGAAAACAATACATGGGGATATCTTTGTCCATTATCCAAAATTGCGCTTCAGATTGGGAAGGACATCTTACATAACACTCCGATGATACAAATCACACAGGGGGCACAGATAAATTTAACCACACTGTCAAATGCTGTGCCCCAGACATTGTTAGCATCGAGCCGATCTCACTACCTGGGACAACACAAAGCTGTGGACCGTGGTAGAGGGGACAGCAAGATCAGAGCTTATGGAAGGCTCTGGGGTGAGGCAGGTGCTTCAACACGAAGCACAGTAGTGTGTGCCTGTAGTCTCAGCTATTCTGGAGGCTGAGGCAGGAGGATTGCTTGAGCTCAGGAGTTCAGGGCCAGCCTAGGCAACCTGGCAACATTGCATCTCAAAAAGAAAAAAAAAAAAAAAACTATAATAAGAAGATAGCATGTTCACATGATTTGCAGTTAACCTGTAAATAGGTGTCCCTTTGTTACATGAAGTAGAAGACGGAGGTTCAGCCTGGGAGAGGAAGTAGCTGATATGAGAGACCATGGTATGTAAGAAGCAAGATAGGTTTCCACTGCTGGCCACCCCGTGCCAGATGTCCTGCTGTTCCCTAGCAAATGCAACTCTTGGGAATAACTGGGTAGGGAGAACTTGGATACAGGGACCTAGGGGACCTCTCACTCCAGCAGAGACCAACAGTCTTGAGCTAGGGGGGACTCAGGACAACAGGCAGACCAAGGAGGTAAACTGAGGCAGCTGCGTCCCTTCAAGCCCAAAAGGGGCTCTGGTTCCTGTGGCCTGGCCTCTACCCCAAACACCTCCTTGATTCCAAAACTACTCACATCTGATTGTACAGATTCTTGAAAACTCTGGGATGTTAAAATGAAACTACTGTCATTTATGACAGCTGAATTTTCCAAATGTCTCTGAACAGTGAGTGACCGTGTGGGTGCCCAGGAAGAAATCAGAGAAGATCAGTGGCGAATGGAGTCATTTTCTTAAACACGCTGAAGTTTTACATAAACTCTGAAACAGGAAGACGTAGAAACTGATTGCACCTTTTTATGCCTTTAGGACAGTTTATAACACATAGCATGCGATGGGCTGTTCTTGACATCAGAAATAAATACCAGAGGTATTTGGTATAACCAGACAAAGAGTGGATGCTCATTTTTCACTTAATGCATTTGTCTTTCTTTCTTTTTTTTTTTTTTTTACCCGGGATAGAACTAGGGACCTTGCGTCTGTCAGGTAGGCGGCAGAACCACTGAGCTAAAGCCCCGGCCTTTCCATTTGTCTTTCATTGACAGTAAACCAAGCAGCAAAACTTTAGCATTGAAAAAATTTCCATGTCAGCTTCCGTAGGAGCCTCTGGATGGGTGCCAGGACTGGACTTTCGTCCCTGGCTCCTCTCGTGGGCCTTTTAACAGTAAAAGGTTGGCGTCTGTCAGGTAGGCGGCAGAACCACTGAGCTAAAGCCCCGGCCTTTCCATTTGTCTTTCATTGACAGTAAACCAAGCAGCAAAACTTTAGCATTGAAATTATTTCCATGTCAGCTTCCGTAGGAGCCTCTGGATGGGTGCCAGGACTGGACTTTCGTCCCTGGCTCCTCTCGTGGGCCTTTTAACAGTAAAAGGTTGGAAAAGCTTGTCTTCCATTCGCTTCCAGAGAAGCTGGCGAGTATTATGAGCTCCACCCATCAAACATATTTCTGTGCCATTTAAATCCAAGCCAGGTTACTGGGGAAGGCAGGCATCCACTTTACCAGCTGAGCTGGCTATGCCGGCAGCTTCCTGACTGGGGAAGTTTTGGGGTTTCCCAGGACTATCAGAGTTCTCCCGACTGAGATAAGAACACTGACCTTTCATTCTCCTGTGCTGCAGTGTGGCTTTGAGGGTCATTCCCAGGGCCAGTTTCACTCGTTTGTAGGATCTGATTCTGTAATTTATTTATTTATTTATTTGTACTGGGGTTGAACCCAAGGCCTTTGCCCTGAGCCATATCCTCCACTTTTTAAAAATTTATTTTGAGACAGGTTCTCACTAAGTTGCTAAATTTCCCAGGCTGGGCTCCAACTTGCAGTCCTCCTGCCTCAGCCTCCAAGAGTGCTGGAATTACAAGTGGGCACCACTACAAATGGCTTAACACTCTATTTTTAAAAGCCCCTTCTACTTAAAATAGGAAGGTTGGATTTTGCTGTCTGCAAGTGAGCATTGGCTGACTTGAGTCCTGAGGAGATAAATGCCGAGTTCCAGAATTAGGGGTGAGGCCAGAGCACACACCTGTGAAAAGACATCAGAACCTCTCTGCTAACTTTACCACGGCCTGGAGAGCGAGGCCTGAGGTCAGAACCTGGAGCACTCGTCCAGCGTCCCCCAGTTTGGGCAGAGACTGCAGACGGCCAGCTGTTCTGGGGGTCAGGGGACAGGGCGTACAAGTGGGGCCGACGCGGAAACACCAGGGGCTACTGGGGCGCATGCAGGGGGACAGCAGGCTCACACATGCACCCAGGCGGTCACTGATCCCGTCCAAAGGAGGTGTGGGACCTCTCTGGGAAGAAGCCAGAAGTGGGCATCAAGGGCCTGGAGCCAGGAGAGAGTCACATATGTGTGTCAAGGAAGCTGCAGGTGACACCGGCTGTGGAAGAGCCCCCAGCAGTGCCCCCGCAGGGCAGTGCCAACCAGGAGCAGGGCAGCAAAAGCTTCCGGCTCCTTCCTCCTGTTCCTTCCACTCACTCTGCAGCCCCCCACTGGCAGCTGTGGTCCCTGAACACGGCAGAGCGATGACATTCAGGCTCCCTGAGGGACCCCGACCCAAAGGCGTGGGCAGAAGCTGCAGAAAACACAAATGGTCAATAAATACGTGAAGAGATGCAAATGCAAACCACACTGGATTCCAACTCACCCCGCTGATTTCTGTCATTAAGACATCAACTAACAGCAGACACTGGCAACGCTTCAGGGAAGAGCGCAGCCTTCTGCACCGCCGGCGGGGATGTGAACGAGTAAAACTACGACGGACTTCAGTGTTGAGATTCCTCGATACACAAACACTAGAGATTCCATTTGACACCAGCCACCCCCTTCCAGGTATCTTCCTAAAAGAGGCGAAGACCTCACGTTACAGTGACGCACGCACACGCATGTTTATAGCAGCACAGCTCACAAGACCTGAGCCTTGCAAGCAGCCTCATGTCCCTTCACACATGAGCGAATACAGAGCGTGCTCATACGCAGAGGGACACTCCTTCCTCACAGAGAGAGAGACTCTTGAGTCATCGGCATGGCAGTGGGTGCGCTTTGAGAGCACAGCATTGAGTGAGATCGATGAGACCCACAAGCTTAAATTTCCCTGGTTTCTCTTATATGGGAAACGTAAAGCACAGAGAGGAAAATAAAAGACAGATACTAGCAAGTAAGGAGACAGGCGCTTTTCAAGGGGCAGGGCATCGAATGGAGAGGAAGGACGGAGGTGGAGAAGGGATGAAGACGCGCGCTGTGCGTGCACCGACTCCCCACGGTGAGTGTGCTCATCAGTACCGCCCACACGCGCCGGTAGAAATATTCTGGAGGGCCTGGGATTTGTGGTTCCGCTGCCTGCCTCACAAGAGCGAGGTCCCAAGTTCAATCCCCGGTACCCCCCCAAACAATGTTCTGGAACAAACACACTCTTGAGCATCTCAGCCACGACTATAGCAACAGCAGCAACAGCAAAACCCCACGAACGAGGAAACTGAGGCTCCACGAGGACGGGGGACTCTCTAAGGATTGCACATTGAGAAAAGGGAGGAGATGGGACTTGAACCCAACTCTGTCTGATTCCAGCGCCCTTGTCCCTTAACCCCACTCACTCCTCCTCGGCATCTTGCAGCCATGACTTCTCCTGCACAGTCCTCTTTGTGCCTTCTCATTGAGCCTGTGAGTTCCCGCTGCCCTCCTGCAATTCCTCTGCCATTTAGGAACCTCACAAGCGCGCTAAGTCGGCTGAGGACGGATGTAGGAGTGTGCTGTGGGACTTGGAGGGAGCGGGACCACTTTGTGGAAATGAACGGAAGCCAGAAGGGAGCCATGTGCATGACGCAGTAGGTCTGTGGAGCCATGGGGCCAAGCACTCGTCTTACATTGCTGCAGCAGAGTAGGGTAGCCCAGCGCTATACCCAAGCTAAGTGCCACAGCTCTGAAAGCATAGCTGAGCCTTACAGCTCAGTGTGGCAGCCCTGGATCTCGGTCAGTTGAAGAGATGGCAGAAAAAAAAAAATCTTTCACCAGAGATCCGGGTGGGCTCAGAGGAGCCTGAGTGCTCTGCCAGACCTGAGAGCCTCTTTATATAGGGATCTACAAGGCAGGCGAGCATGCTCACTGAAGCGGAAGGGCGGAGTTACAGAACATTCCTGAAGCAGAGGGGCGGAGTTAGAGAACATCCCTGAGAGAAGGTGGAGCTTAACAGAACTTCTTGTGAGCAGGCAGAGCTTAAAAGAACACTCCCGAGAGGTCACACAGTTCAGTCACAAACCATTTGGATACAGTGGGCAGGAGTCCAGCAGCACAAACTTACATTTCCAAAACAAAACATTCTGTGGAAAGAGAAACTGGAGGCAAGGCAAGGGCCTGTCTTATTGTATAGCACTTCTCTGCCAACATTTCAGGAGAATGTGAGTTGGTGGCTTAAACCCCACAGTGTAACAGTGCCCTAGTGCCTCTGAGTCCCCTACATGACATCTAATTCTGCCTCCTCTGCTCTGGCGTGTGTGTGTGTGTGTGTGTGTGTGTGTGTGTGAGAGAGAGAGAGAGAGAACCTTCACAACCAGAGCAGCCCTGGAACTGCGCACAGCAGGACCCACAGTGGCTGCCCCTGGGTGGGTGGGGGGCAATGTCTGTGCCTCTGGGCACCTTGGCTCCTTCAGACAGGAAAACAGACACCGAGTGCTTTCCCAAAGAGTCGGCCCAAGCACCAGGATAGCATGAACTCCACTCACACCACTTCTGGTGAAATCATATCATAATCAGGGAGCAGAAATGGCCTCTGTTCGGGCAGGGCCGGCTGGGCGGGGTTGGACAGCGGCTTCCCGGGTCAGCGGGAAGAGCTGAGGACAGCTTGAACCTTAGCACCAGGGCTGCATTCACAGGAGTAGGAGAAGTCCGGCCCATTGAAAGAATGTGCTTTCCTAAGGTGAGACAGATGGCAGGTGAGAAGGTGTGGCTGCTCTCGGCCGCTCCAGGGTGAAACTGGACTTGGCCATTGCTCAACAGGAAGGGGCGGGTGCTCCATCCCTTTTCCATCTACCAGGTCCCTGTAGCCTTAGGGCCCGGAGAGGTGGGAAACAGAAAGGCCCTGGCTTAAAGCTGGCATGGATTGCAAGGCACAGCTTTCATGAGGGACAGTGGGAGGCTCCCACAGACCCCGTGAGAACTGGTAGGGAGCTGGGGCAGACTCAGGGGAGGAGGAAGGGGCTTGAGGGGGAAAATAGGATGAATCAAATAAAATTTATTTTTTAAATAGCACAGGGAAGACAAGGGACAGAGGTCTCGGTGTTCCTCCTGCACCTCAGGACTCCCACAGACAGGCACAGTGAGAAGTACTTGCCTCTGTCTTTTTATTTCATGCCAACCTGTGGGTAGAACGGAGGGCCAGAGTATGCTGGGGTGGCACCATCTCCCCCAAGGAGGAGGCAAAACACACACAGTCATGGCGAGTGGGATGGGCTGGGCTAGGAAGGGGGATCCCGAGCCTCAGAAATCACCTGGGATCCCTGCCTTCCCTCCCGCACTCTCTTCTGCACCACTGCCAGGCGGATGTAGCTGGAGGTCTGAGGTCGCTGTCAAAGGTTCAGGGTCTGAATGACTGCTGGGTCACAGCAAACAGGACAGTGAAGACCAGGCTCTTGCTGAGGAGGCCACAGGCCGCAGGAATGGCAATGCTGCTGAAAGGCACCCTGGGAGAGAGGGAGAGAGGAGACTGAACACTGCCCCTGGTAAGGAGACTGACGAGATTCCTGCAGGTCCCAATCTCATCAGCAGAGGCCCTTCCCACACCTTCGGGTGCTATGCGTGCAGCTTAGCTGGTTTCATTCCCTATGACAGATTAAAGAGCCAGTTAGGAGAGCTGGGCTCTGGTCCAGGACAGGGAGAGAGGAAGGCCGACCCTCTGCCTCCAACTTCCTTGGGCTGGAGCGAGAGGGCCGCCCTGGGGCTGGGAAACCTGGTCTTTATCCTCCGTACCCAATCTGTTTCCTGGAATGGTCACCCCAAAACTCTAGCCTCTGTTTCTTCATCTATAAATCAAGAATCCAACCTTAGAGGAAAACCCACCATGAATTTTTAGATTTGAACAAAATGATTCCACAAGTCTCGTGTGGTCATCGAGATATCATTAAAAAAAAAAAAAAAAAAAAAGACAAGTGAGGCCAGGAGCCTGGCCTGTCCCATCGGCAGAGGTGGGAGAGATGGGGACACTCGGGCTTTGTCTGCTAAGATGCCGGCACAGAGATAGGGGCAGCCATGGACAACATCACAAGACGCTGTCCCAAAATTTAAAGAAAAATTCAACGTCTGGAGATGTAGCTCAGTGCAAAGGCCTAGGGTTCAATCCCAGTACCCACACCCCCCAAAAAAGAAATTAGCACCCAAGGAAATCTGCAGCCCTCTAAATAGGCAGAGATTGTGTTAGTGAATAAGTCTGGCAGTATCTGAAAAGGTATATGAAGAAAAAAATAAATAAAATATTTCTTTCGCCGCCTGCCTTGCAAGTGTAAGGACCCAAGTTCAATCCCTGGTACCATAAAAAAAAAAAAAAATGTTTCTATAACTCTGTACCCTCAATGGGCTAAAAATATTTAAGTGAACAACAACAACAAAAAAAAACTAGTAAAGTTACCAAAATAGAATCGATCACAATTAAGCAAAGCAATAATTTTTAAACCAGCGCAGTTGCCTGTGCAAAATTTAAAGCCGAATGCACGAGCAAGCCAAGAAGGAGACACACAGCAGCAACAGCGGGAATCAAAGTGGCCCTTCGACTTGAGTCCAGCTCGGCCTCCTGCCCTGCCCTGTGTCTCAGGGGACAACGTGCCCGATGCCCGGTCAAGCTCCCCAGTGGCAGTGCTGATTACCAGCCTCCCAAGACGGAGTAGCCACAGTCTGTCCCACCCTCCCTGGTTCCGACAGCACCCACCACGGGCCAGGCTCCTCCCTGGTTAGAGCCGAGCTGCCTGAAGGTCCCTGCTCTGGGCTTCACACCTCCTCTCTGCCTAATCCCTTTTCACACAGCCACCCCGAGGCATCTTCAGGGCTGCCCCACCCCTCTGAAGTACCTGCGATTCACCAGCCCCTTTGGGCCACCTATGACCAATGCCTGCGAATGCACAAATACAAATGCTCCAGGTGAGGCAGGCTCAGTGGGCCGTGCTGTCATCTCGGCACTGGGGAGGCTGAGGCTCGAGGATTGCCAAGTCCAAGCCCAGCCTGGGTACTTTATTGAGACTGTCTAAAAATAAATGGTGAAAGAGGGCTCTCAGGATAGCTCCAGTGTGAAGGCCCTGGGCTTGTTCTCACTACCGGAAAAATAAGTAAATAAAATAGACAAATTAAATCAATCAATATTCGAGGTCCTCTGCCCCCCGGTAGGACAACTCTGGGTGTGAATCGGACCTCCCTCCAAGGGTGGAGCCCAAGTCACCCCCTAAGCCTGGCCTAGTTAATGACACTTTCTTTACTTGGCTTCCGTCCTTTCCCAGACCTACTTCCTAGTCTCTCTGCTGGCGATCATTTCCTAAAGCCTTTTAACCAGACCCTTTCCACAGTCTGCTTCTTGGGAAATACCCCTGACATGGGGCGATATCGGTCCTCCAAAGTCATAGGGGACGTGTCCTAGATGGAAACAGTGGTGCCTGGGCAGCTTCCTGTTCCTTTTTCTCCATACCCTGACCAGGAGGGGAAATGGGCTGCCACCTGCAGCCACCATGACCCACACAGGTCCAAAAGTCGTGGGGTCAACCAGTGATGAGGGGAAACCTCTGAAAGTGTCAGGCAAAATTAACATTTCCTTTATGAGTGAATGGCCTCAAGTTAAAACTCTGAAAATCTTATTCTGCAACAATGCGTAAGATTCTAATAAGATTACTGACATTTAGAAATTTGAAGAAAGGAGCTAAAGGTGTAGGGAAGGTGTGATGCGTAGGGGAAGAACAAAAAGGGAAAAGAAAAAAATGTGAGAGAATGAAAAGATGAAAATAAAGTGTTTGTAGATGGGGAGGGGAGGAGGGGGTGAAGGGAGGGCAGGGGTAAGGGGAAAAAATGAGAATCAAGACTTGCCATGTAGAGGTACAAGATCCCAACAATGAATGTAACTGTACTGTATCCCTAAAATGTACCAATAAACTCAATAAAATTAAAAAAAAAACTCTGAAAATCTTATCAAAAACTACTGAGACTGGCCCCGCCCACAGGTCTGTAGCAGAATATTTGTACCAGCATTAAAATCAAATGACAGAAACGGGGGACGGGGCAGAGTCCGGGACTGAGGCGGAGGCTGAGGGAGGCAGAGAGAGATCTGACCCTCCAGGCGACCATAACCTACAGCTGCTGCGTGCATTCAGGAAGATAGCCTTTGCCTCTCCTGGCTACTATGGGGTACAAGGAAATCAGGTGAGGAGTGAGAAAGGATGGCAGCCTCGCTGGCACCTGCCCCTCAGCCTGTCACCACCCCCGGCCCCTCCTCGGAATTTCCACCAGACTCACTCTGGTGACCCAAGTCGCTTCTGGCCCGTCCGCCCCATGCTCCCCACCCTGCGTTCCGAACATCCCCTCAGCACACAGACCGAGGGACAAGGGGCTCCAGCCCAGGAGGCCAGGGCTCGAACACCACACCTGGTGACACTTGTCACGTCTGTGAAGTTGACCCCTGAGTCAGGAGAGGAGATGGTAGAAATCGATGTAGGAGAAGGCCGAGTCGCAGTTCTGGGCCTGATGTAGGTGGTGCTCAAAGCCTCTACAGTAGGCAAGGTGGAAACATCAGCCAAGTTCGGGGTCAGGACCTCCGTGGTAGGAAGAGCGGGCTTCTTGGCCAAGTCTGGGGTAGGATTCACGTCAGAGGCATGGGTATCCAAAGAATCTGCAAGGAGACAAATCGGAGTGATGTGTAGGTAGGCGGGTGGGTGGGTGGATGGCTGGAGAACGGGTAGGAAAGTGATTGGATGAATACTATAGCTGACTAGATAGAAGATGGACAGATCCATGGAAAATAAGTGAAGCTAAGGAGGGAAATGAATGTGGTAGTCAAGAAGCTAGATTTTCTTTTGCTAAAACCAAAGGAATCGTGTAAGGTCAGCCTCGGTCAAGCTGAGCAGGAGACGAGGAAAGGACAGAGAGTAGGGAGTAAATGAGGACACAAGAAAGGACAGAGGAGAAGAGTTTTCAGGCTATTTTGTGTGATTGGAGCCTGCAAATTTTCACCATCTGTGTATCCCCAGCTTCTCCAAGAATAATTCAAGCATCCGTCTCCTTTTCCTCTGCCTTCCTTAATTCATCCAGTATTCACGGCTGGGTATTCGGTGCCCTGTCAGGCACAGAACTCTCCTCAAGGGTTCAGAGGTTCACAGGGGACCCCGGTAAGTAACCTGGGCTCTCCCATTCAGTGGAAAATGTCATCCAAGAGAGGGGCACAAGGGAGCTTGGGAAGTAGGTCCTGGTAAACAGGTGTCACCTGAGGCCTGCTGAGTTAGGATGTGCATTTGAAGCAAGCTCCCCTGCTGTGTGACTGCACCCTCAGGAAGGCCGGGGTGCACAGTTTCAGGACACAGAGGAGCACCACCGGCTGCATCCTTGGGAGGAGGATAGGGGCTCCTAGGAGGCTTCTCCAGGACAGGACTTCTACTTGGGAACCTGAGAAACGGGACTAAATTATTCCCAAGTCTGCTGCTAACCAGCAGTGGCTGGGGACACAGTTAAGCATCCTGCAGTGCAGAGATGGGCCCCATGGTGAGCCATTACCCTACCGAAAACACCAACAGTGCTGACTTGAGGACCCTTGGGTCACAGGGACAGAAAACCCCAATGCCCCTCTTGGAGGAAGAACAAGGGTAACCACGGGCTTTAGGGGGGAATTTTCAGGTTTGGTACAGGGAGCTTTGTTGATGGGAGGCAAGGCAGTGGGGAAGGAGGAGCATCCGGGCTATATTTTCAGTCAGATACACCAGGCTGCGGAGATCCTGAGGGCCCAGCAGTGATCCACACGCCTGGATACCTTTCTCCACAGAGCACCAGAAAGGAGCTGGCCAGCAGTTGTCAGTGAGTCCAAGCACCTCTACCAGGATGCACCACACACACACACACACACACACACACACACACACACACACGGGTGCATGTACTCCTGTGTCCCCTAAGGTATCCTATAAGCCCAACTGTCCTTGTGTATAGAGGTGGGCTGGGCAAAAAATTATTTCCGGATCCCTCTGGCCTCTGCTTTCTCCTGCCACACCCAGATGTGGCTTCCTTGGGCAGCCCCAGAGCTGCAGTTTTCTCAACTCTCCCAACCAGCCGTGCTGCTCCCAGACAGTTTGCTCAAGCCAGCCCTCCCTGGGTGGCAGATTTCTCAGTGCTCCGAAGATTTCCCAGCACTCATATGTGGGTTCCCGCCCAGTTATCCTTTGGTGCATGAATCCGAGACTCCCTCTCACAGTGCCCCCACCTATCCAGGCACGATGATCTCCCTCTTCCTCTCTTTCCTACTCCCCTGCTCCACTCTCCCTCTGGCTCTCACTGAGGGCTTCTTCCTGCTTGCTGAACCTAGTCGACAGCCTTCTTCAAGGGTGTGAATTCCTGCTGTCTCCCACAGTGAGAGACTAGAAAGTCCATGTGCTGACTTCGGGTCTAGAACCGTCCCCGCTGCTCCGAATGTCTCTCCTCAGGGGCCCCAGATGGCAGGTGGGGGCCCAATGCTCACCTGGGCACAGGACCAGCAGAGTCCAATCCTGCAGGGGAACCGGGGGATCGACAAGGAGGACACACTGGTACAGCCCCGCGTCCTGCTTTTGCAGCCCCATCATGGTGATGGTGATGAAGCCAGTGGTGGGGTTATCCTCCAGCAGGAACCTCCCCATCTGGGCCCGATTCAGGTCCTCGTTTCTCGTCTCTGTCTTCACCAGGGTCTCAGTGTGGCCGAGGCTGTCCACCCGCTGCCAGGCCTTGATGGTGTACCTGTATTGCCTGTTGTAATGATGCTCCACTTGCAGGTCTTGCCCCTCCTCCAGGCACCTGCGCTCCGCCTCCCTGCCTTCCGCGTGGAGCCCTAGAGGAAGAGCAGGCAGCCACTGAGCTCCGGGGCTGACCCCATCCCCTGCAGCCACAGCCACAGCCACAGCATGGACACAAGGCCAAAGATGCAGCACCTTAGCGGCTTGGGCAAGGGAGCAGGAGCAACCAGGCTCTTTTGGTGCTCAGCAGTTTCTTCTAGGTCAGGAACAGACACTCACATATGGAGTAAGGCACAGCATCAATCCTGGTTAAGGGCTTGAATCTAAGTGTTTATGGTAGCTATTCTGTCTCCATTTTTTTTTCCATTTTGGTTCTTTCATTAAATGGTAGAATAATTACATTCATTTTGACTGACTGATACATGTATAATAATATCTTGACTATTTCTAATACCCCTCCATTGTACCCCTCCATCTTCATTTTAGAAACTGGAAATTTTCTATAATAAAAATGAACTGAAGAGTCCTGCCTGTTGGCACACAGCACTCTGGAAGCAGGAGGAGCCTCCCAGGACAAGTAGGAGGCTTGCCTGGGCAACTTAACAACTTAGCAAAAGCCCGTCTCCAAATAAAAAATAAAATAAAATGGGATGGGATGCAGATCAGTGTGAAGGCCTTAGATTCAACCTCATTACAGCAAAACAAAATAATAAAAATCAATAAAAGCCGGGCGTGGTGGCGCACGCCTGTAATCCCAGCACTCGGGAGGCTGAGGCAGGAGGATCACTGTGAGTTCGAGACCAGCCTGGGCTACATAGTGAGTTCCAGGTCAGTCTCAACTATATAGTGAGACCCTGTCTCAAAAAAACAAACAAAAATAAATAAATAAAAATCAATTAAAAAATCACCAACTTCACCCTCTATTTTCTACTCTACCCATGCTTGTCCTAATATGCACCCTTGCTGTGTGGTACACAATCCCTTCTTGTAGCACCTGGTGCCCCCAGGTGGAATTCACCTCCTACTCTTCTCCACCTGCCTCACCCCATCCTCCCAAGGGAAGCCCACCTGAACAGCTCCAAGTGGCACTAACCTCTTTCTCCCCTCGGCCCTCAGTACCAGGGATCAAAATCATCAGCATCGTTATCCACATAACTTTCACTGAGTCCTTTCGATGTCCTAAACACTGAGCCAAGTGCTGAGCCATCAGTCTGCTATTCAATTCCCAGCCTTGCCAAAGACACAAAGAGAGTGGATCTGTCCATTCCGGGTCCTTGCCATTCTGTAACACGCACCCTGGTCTCATTCCAGTCCCTCCTAAGGAAAGGAGAGAGCAGAGGCTGCCGCCCCGGGCTGCTCCCATGCCCTCCCTCCTGCGCCCTCTCCAGTCTCCTCGCCCGCCTCTGCTCACCTGAGACGCAGAGCAGCAGCAGCAGCAGCAGCAGCTCCCGCAGCGGCCACTTCTGTGCCCCTCTCTTCTCCATTTTCCCGCCTCTAAGTCTGCTGCCCGCCGGCGCTGCTGGTTTACACTGCCCCGAACCCTAGGCGCAGGCTTCCCCCTGAGGCTCTGCTGTTTCTTTTGATTGAGAAATCCCAAGAGGAGCGTGACGCCAGGAGACAGAAAATGAAGAGAACAGAGGGCACTGCCTGGGCTGGCTTCCTTCCTGCCTTTCATGTGTCACAGGCCTGTTGAGAAACACTTGATTCTTTCCCATTCTGTCAAACAAACTTTGGCCCCACCCACTGGCCGCGGTCTCCCAAGCCGTCCTCACTGGCTCTCACCGCTGCTTCCTGAAATACCCGAAGCCGTTGCCCCCATCAGAAAACGCGTTAGTCATCTTCCTGTTGCTTGGACGCACAGCACACCCAACACCCGGAAGTGCAAAATGGAGTGTTTTATTTGAGTATTATTTGTCCTTGGTGTTTTGATTTTTTAAAATTTTTATTAGCACATGTTGGCATCACAAAACAGCCACCTTTACTTGGGATGTCAGTGCCTGCACATAATACATCTTCGTTCTTTTTACTTCCCCTCTCTTCCCCTCCTTCCATCTCCCGGTTTACATCACAAGGGGGTTCAGTCCATGGTCAGCCGCCTCCAAGGCAGGAACTGGGGGAATTGAACACATCACAGAGAAAAGAGCAAAACAGTCTGGATTGCTAACCCCAGCTCCCAGAGAGGGACCTGTCTCTGCTAACACAAAATAAGCTTTAGGGAGGAATAGGGGACCAGACCAGAAGCTCTAGCCCCAAGAATATCCTGCCATTAGTGTAAACTGCAAAGCAGTGTGGACCTTTACTCTCAGAATAAATCCCTCCTCACAACAGGCAATGTGGAGAAGAAATCCACTGTAGCACCCACCACGGTGAGAGAGATAAGCTGTTTTGAGAAGGTGTTTCATTGTTTAAGACTAAGCTAAAGAACAGCCACACGTAAGGGTTTCCGAGGTCATCCTACCCCAGGGTGACTTGTTGAGAGACATCCACAAGAGATTGTTGTGGAGTGGTATGGGCTAGACATAGACCCACGGAGCAATTCAAGTTCGGCCTGGGTAGGACACGGGAGTCTCACTTTCTCCCATGAGAAGTCAGGCTGCTCCAGGGTGGTTTTTGGAGGGGGCTGGGTCCGAAGGGGCTGGCAGTAAGACCAGCTGATTGCCTTACTTCCATCACACCCCCTTGCCTACACTCAGCACAGAACTCTGTGTTCTGCTTGCTGCCCCCACCGGCCAACAAGATCAGGAATACCATTGGGCGTGGATCGTTACCACAGCCTGGGGTGTCCAGACAGAGGGCCCTCCTGAGTATGTAAGGCTAGGCAGAGGAAGCAGTGATTTGGGGCACACAGAAACATGGAAAGTGGGAGCCGCTGAAGAGGAGAGAGCCCTAAGGTGAGCACCACTGACCAACTACACTCAGCAGGAAAGGCATGCAGGACTCAGCATAGCACACAAAATGTGAGTGTGGAAATAAAATAAGACTTAGCAGTGACGCACTAGCCCTCCTCCATGTCTGGTGATTCCAATACTGCGGACCTCAAAAGAAACCACTTATTCAAAAACGCAGAGGTGGGCTGGGGATTTAGCTCAGTGGTGCCTCCACCTGCCTTGCAAGCACAAGGGCCTGAGTTGGATCCCCAGTACCAAAAAATGAAACAAAGCAAAAACACAGAGGAATTTTTTTCATTTATTTTCCTCATTGAATTTTGAGGGTTTGGGTTTCTTTCTTGATTTCTTTCTTTCTTTCTTTCTTCCTTCCTTCCTTTCTTTGCTCTCTTGTTTTTTTTTTCTCCATCCTTTTCTTCATTATTCATTTCTGTTGGTTTTTATCTAATTGTATTAATTTTCTTGTACTCCTTAGTAGGATTATTTATCTCTTACCTTTCTTTATTTTTTGAATTTTACTTCTTTTATTTTCCCCCCTCCCCACCTCCTCCATTTTTACTAGTATTGCTATTAAGCTTTATTCATCTTTAGATATTGCCAGGTGTGGTATTGTATGCCTGTAATCCTAGCACTCGGGAAGCTGAGGCAGGAGGATTGCCATGAATTCAAGGCCATCCTAGGCTATATAGTGAGTTCAAGGCCAGCCTGCACTGCAAAGAGAGACCCTAACTGGGAAAAAATATCTTTAGATATTAAGGTGACTCTATGTATTATTGTTGAATTCTTTCTATTGTGAATGGTGGTGTAGTCATTGCATTTAGTACATATTTACTGTGTGTTAGTATTTGGTTTGTCTTTATGTCCATATTATTGTGGCAGATTTCTTTTCTATCACTAAAGGTGGTACAGTAGTAGCTTTTAGGTGAAAGAAGAAAGACTAATATAAGATTAACTGGAAATTTTGAATTCTAATTTCTAGGAATGAAGGTGGAAAACAACATGAGAGAGAATCATGCTTTATGAAATAAAAGTATGAGTGTTTTTTAAAAAGTGTGGTGGCTGACAGATAAATTAGGCAGAACTCTTGAAGACATTGACATAGGAAAAGACTTTATGAAAAAATCCTCAGTAGCACGGGAACTAGCAGAAAGAATCAACAACTGGGATGTCATCTTATTTAAAAGCTTCTGCACTGCAAAAGAAACCATCAACAGAACTAAGAGACAACCTACAATGTGGGAAAAAAATTTTACCAGTTGCTCCTCAGACAAAGGACTATAATCTAGAATATATAAAGAAATCAAAGCGATCAGCCCCCCCAAATATAAAGACCCAATTCAAAAATGGGCATCTGAAATGAACAGACATTTCTCAGACAAAGAAGTAAAAGCAGCAAGTAAATATATGAAAAAATGTTCCACATCACTGGTCACTGGAGAGATGCAGATGAAAACAACACTGAGATTCCACCTCACCCCGCAAAGAATGGCTGCTATAAAGAAAGCACACAATAACAAATGTTGGCCGGGTTGTGGGGAGAAAGGAACTCTTCTCCATTGTTGGTGGGAGTGCAGACTGGTGCAACCACTGTGGAAATCAATATGGAGATACCTCAAAGAGCTGGGACTAGAGGTTCCATTTGACCCAGCCATCCCTCTGCTGGGTATCTTTCCAAAAGAATTGAAAGAATCATACCACAGTGATATATGTGCACCAATGTTTATAGTGGCACAGTTTGTAATAGCTAAAACTTGGAAACAGCCCATTTGCCCATCAGTTGGAGACTGGATAAAGAAGCTGTGGTTTTTCTATAAAATGGAATACTACTCAACCATAAAGAATGAGAAATTAGAGTCATTCATAGGAAAATGGATACATATTGAGGATATACTCTTAAGTGAAATAAGTCACACATGTGTAAATATCGAATAGTCTCTCTGGTGTGAAAAACTATAGTAGTACACAAGATCCCAATGGGATAATTAATAGTGTAAAATAGGAAGAAAAGGGCTAAAGGTGTAGGGAAAGTAGGAAGGGTAGGGGAAGGGGTATAAGGGAAAAGAAAAATATATGAGAAAATGAAAAAATGGAAAGAAAGTGTTTGTAAATGGGGAGGGAAGGAGTGGGTGAAGGGAGGGCAGGGACAAGGGGAAAAAATGAGAACCGAGACCTGTCATGTGAAGGAACAGAATCCCAGTAATGAATGTAACTGTACTGTATACCGAGATTGTACCAATAAACTGAAAAAACAAAAGTGTGGTGGCACATGCCTTGTAATCCCAGTATTCAGGAAACTTAGGCAGGAGGATTGCTGCAAGTTCAAGGCCAGGCTGGTCTATTCAATGAGTGAATTCGAGGAGTGCTTGAACTACTTTGTGAGATCCTGTCTCAAACCTCTTCGCCTCTTCCAAAAAAAAGAGTAGAGGGAAAGAATTTAACATACAGATAGGAAAGCTGTATAGAATACCAAATAGCCATAACTCCAAAAGAACTCCTCCACAATACACCAGAGTCAAAATCCTGGAAGTTGAATCCAAGCGCAGAAAAGCAACAAATCACTTATAAATGTAAATCCATTAGAATTATAACAGACTTCTCAACACAGTGCTTAAAAGCCAGAAGACTTTGGAATGAAGTATCTCAACCTCTAAAAGAATACAACTTTCTACCCACACTAATATAGCTTGCAAAATTATCTTTCAAAATTGATGGAGAGGGACCAGGGATTTAGCTCAGTGTTTCTGCTGCCTGCCTAAGCAAAAGGATCCGAGTTAAGGGCTGGGGATTTAGCTCAGTGGTTCCACTGCCTGCCTTGCAAGCGCAAGGACCTGAGTTCAATCCCTGATATAATTGATGGAGAAACAAGGTCCTTCCATGACAAAGATCCCCTTAAGAAATTAATGACCACCAAATTATCACTTCAAAATATCCTCAAGGGTATAAGGATATCCTAGAAAGAGACAATGAACCCATTGATGTCCGAAAGTCTAGAGAAATGTGTACATCAGATAAGATAGCAGTTAAGAAGAAGGGAGGGAGGAATCAGCAGCGGGAAAACAATGCAATGACAGCAATAAGACAATACATCCAGAAATAACTCTCAGTGTTAAAAGTCTCAACTCCCAATCAAAAGTCAGAGATTAGCAGATTGGATCAAAAAACAAAACCCAACAGTATGCTGTATAAAAGAAATACGTGAAATCCAAAAAGAAATTCATAGACTAAAAACCAAAGAATCAAAACAATATTCTATACAACAGGAGTCCAAAGCAAGCAAGAGTAGCTATCATATTTTCAGGCAAAGTAGACTTCAAATCAAAACTGATCAAAGAGGGCAAGAAAGTCACTATAGGGCCTGGGATTTAGCTCAGTAGTTCGGCTGCCTACCTTGCAAGCACAAGGGCCCAAATTCAATCCCTGGTACAAAAAAAAAAAAAAAAAATCACTATATATATTGGTTAATGGGATGATTCAACAGGAAGAGAATCACAGCAATTATAAATATATATGAACCAAACACTAAAGCACCCAACTTTATAGAACAAACACTATGGGATATAAAAGTCAAGATAAATATCAACACAATCATCATGGGGGACTTCAATACCCCACTTTCACAAATATATCTACTAGATCAAAATACCAACAGAGAAATATCACTGTTGAGTCACACCTTTGGTGGGTTTTTGTTTTGGTTTTTTTGTTTTGTTTTGTTTTTGAGACAGAGTCCCGCTATGCAGTTCAGGTTGGCCTTGAACTCACTAGCTAGCACAGGCTGACCTCAAACTCACGGCGATCCTCCTGACTCAGCCTCTCAAGTACTGGGATTACAGATGTGCACTACCACACCTGGTGAACCACACCTTTGAACAAATGGACATGATTTACATTTAGATATCTACAAAAGTTCTACCCAACAACAACAGAATACACA